GACGCCATAAGAGAAAGATGGGGGTAAAAACATGTCCTTCGTATTCACACCACAGTGGGGCGGGCGCAGATTAATGGTTTTCCGGATGCATCTCCCTGCCAAAACACAACTTGGCGCCACCCGGGAACGGCGGAGGCCCCGTATCAAAGCACGTAGTCCTTCTTGCTCCCTTTTGTCATGCTATTTAATCTCGAGTATTTAGTAAACCTCTTAAGCCTCCCCAAACACTGTTGGAGATTGACAACGTAAACTGACACAGCCGCCTCAAGAGACGCTTCTCCTGTAATGGCGCCTGCGTCAGTCACTAACATGGCGGACATAGTCGTGCGCGGCGCAAACGTCAGCACCTCTACCCCAGCCGCTCAGAAACAGCGGAGGAGAACTAGGCCGTGCTCACTGATTGGTCCAGAGGCGGAGCGTGCCAGTCCAGACGCTTCCGCAGAAGCCAATCAGGACGGCGAGAGACGGAATTGGCCGCTGCGCCTCCTCCCGAGGCATGCTGGGAGCCTGGAGGACTAGCGAGGAGGAGTTGAGAGAACGGAGCGGACGCCATGGCGACCAACATCGAGCAGATTTTTAGGTCTTTCGTGGTCAGTAAATTCCGGGAAATTCAACAGGAGCTTTCCAGGTAAACGCTTCCCAGACTCTTCTGCTCCCAAGGGACCGATAGGGCCCCGTGTAGCCTTCCGTGGCACCCTTCTTCAGAGACGCCGTCGTTCCTCGCCTCAGGCCCCGCTACAGCCCCGCCTGGGCCTGGGATCCATTTTCCGGGCCCTCCCCCCCCCCCATCCGCTCCCTCCCTTCCCTGCGAGGAACTTTGTCTTTTCCGAGGTAACCCCAGACTCCCTCTTCTAGAACCGGGTTGTGATGTTCATTTTTCTTTCCCGTTTGGCCATCCCTTACCTTTTAGCTACTCGTAGGCCTGGTTGTCCACCAGGGACGGGCCTAGTTCCTGCCTCAGCTCCTCCTCCGCCGCCGCGTTTCCCCTCCCCCTCTCCGCCTCCGCGGATTTCGCCGGCCGGTGCCTCTGACCGGAAAGGGTCTCTAACGGCCGTTTCTTGAGTAATCTTAAATCCGCTTTATTATTGGCAAGCTTGAGATCACTTTGGGGGTCGGGATCCTTTAATTAGATTATTTGGGCCCTAGGGTCCTGTGGCTTCCACCAGACAGCATTCCTAATGGATTAGAAATTGAAGTGAAAGCTCAAATTAATGTTAGGTACTTTGACACAATATTCGAGGTGAGGACGGGAGAGTATTTTCACTAACAATTTCGGTTGGAAAGTAGGTTTCTGTTGACGTCTAATTTAATTTTTTTGTTGTTGCTGCTTCTGCCCCAGTTGACATGTATGATCAACACGCTACTTTTGCCGTTGTGTTAGACCTTACATAGTTTACCCTTGGTTTCAAAATTTGAGTGGGAAGAGATTTCCAAAGAAATAGTTGTTTACTGACGAGGAAAATGGTGTGGGTCATGATGTTACGTGGTTGTCTTTTAGTTTTGCTTCATGTAACGTAGGTATTCCGAGTTCAAGTGTTTTTGCTCGTTATATTTTGAAAGTTTAGAGTAATAGCATGAATTTGAAAACGCAGTTGTAAATTAAGTGCTGAAATTAACATAGGTTTATTGGGGCAACGGTATATAGTATCGCTAAGATTATTTTTTTGTAGGATATTTTGTTTAAGTAGGAAATCTATACGCTCACTTATTTCATCGCTGTTTAAAATTTTGTCATGTGTTAGTGATTTTAGATGATAAGAAAAGACCAGAGGAATATAATTTTCTGAAAATTTTAATAGTTTCATCGGACAGTTGTGTTTGCTTATTGTAAATCTTGTTTTTATACCTTTTAAAAATCAGTTATTGTATTTGAAAAACAAGTGTTTTATTGTAAAAACTTTAGAAAAAATAAAAAACTAGAAAGTGGGAAAACCGCATAATGTTCTTTATGTTCTTTCATTTTTTTACCCTGTGTGTACAGATGCACATACATATTTTGTGAATTGTGATCATCTTGTTTTGTGTTGTGTTTTCACCTGATCGCGAACAAGTTTGTCTTCTCGTCTTTTGGGACCTTTTTTATGGTTTCATAGAATTCTTTTGTAGGAATGTATTGTTGGATATTTAGATGGTTTGAAATTTTCATCCCTTTTCAGTAATTGAGATGAATATTTGATGACTTAAAGATGATTATAATCTTTTTTTAGTTATACTTTGGTTTTTAAATCCATGGCTTAGTAGTAAGGTGATTGATTATGTGTACGTGCTTAGGAAAAGAGTAAAAGAAGCTCCAGAAAGTCTAAAAAGAATATTAGATAAAGAAACTTATTATTGGGAATATTCAGCTTCTTGTCCAATAAGTAATAAGTTATCAGTCTGAGAGCAAAATTTTGATTATTCCAGTGAGCTATATTTGCCATATTTTCCTGCGTATTTTTACATATATCAATTTGAGTAAGGGGGCTGACGTTTAAGTAAAGTAAGTTATTTATTGTGTATAGATGGTTGTTAAGAAAGTATAAGCTCTGGTTTTGAATACTAGCTTCACCTACTAGTAACTATGTGAACTTTAGTTTGGTTTCATCTCTGTGGGTCATTGTCCTCATTTGTAAAATCAGAATGACAGTGGTAATCATAGAGTTTTGTTAGGATTAAATGAGTTAGGGAATGTAGACCCATGACTCTAATTAATAGTCAATAAGTGTTAATTATTATGTGACCCATTAAAAAGCCAAGTGTTCTAAATTTAGTTAACTACTGATTTTTTTTGTTTTTTGACCATTTAGACATTTATCAGGAGTGAAGCATAATTGATCGGTTTTTGTTAGTAGGTAAATTAGATTGAGTGTGTTAAAATTATTTTTCAAAACAACTCTGTTAACTTACACAAAAATAGTAAAAATGACTAGCTAAATGACATGCTTCTCATGTCCAGATTCTTACGGCCCTGTGAATTGAAAACATGTTGAGCCATCTATATTAATTTACTGTTAGTGAAATAAAATGTCACTTGTTTCCCATGAGTTTTTTTGAACACCAGAAAATACTAGGATTCTTGACAGTGGATAAAAGCTATATAAATGTATTTTTCTTTTTAAACTTCATGGCATTTCAGTAATTTTAATCAGTCTAAACCTGATCTGAGGCTACAGTTTTACCCTTTTTACTTAATGTGTCTGTGGTAACTGTTCCTTGATATTGTTGATGCTGATTGTGATCCATGTACAGGTGTGGTTTTATTGTGGCTCTAGTTTTCTATCATAATGTTAGGTGGTGTATTTTTCTTTGGATATGTGATTGTGATCAGTAGGTTTTTTTCCTCTGAGATAAAAATGCAAGTTAACCCGAATCTAAATCAGTTTAGGTTTCTGGGAATATTTTATTATTTATTTTATAAGGAGCTTAGAAACCTCTTTTAAAGATTTTTTCTTAATTTTCATAGTTCTGAAAACTAAGTTATTGTGTAAAAATAAAGATGTACCAACTTTGAGTAGTGTGAAGGAGGCACTGTTGGTGGGGAATATCCTCTGAAAGAAATCCCAAAATGGTGAAATGTATGAACAGTATAAGATTATTTTAATCAACTGAGTTATAAATATTAATGTATTATATAGTGTGGTAAAAGTATTAATGAATTTTGAAAACTTTTCTTGTCAAGTGGAAGGAATGAAGGCCAGCTCAATGGTGAAACAAATACACCTAATGAAGGAAACCAGGCAGGTGATGCAGCTGCCTCTGCCAGGAGCCTACCAAATGAAGAAATAGTTCAGAAGATAGAGGAAGTACTTTCTGGGGTCTTAGATACAGAACTACGATACAAGCCAGGTAAGCTGGGGATAATCAGCTGTCTTAAAAACTAAGGTTTTTAATTAGTTAACAGTATTATTTTTTTATTGCAGGGTATTTAAAAGTGTTTATTAGACTTTACTAAATTTTATTTACTGAAGACATTGTTTAAATTTTTCTGTGACAATATAGTTGTACTGTAACGTGAGCAAATACTTAATTTGCTTTGCTGGTGGAATATTAAAACTGTATTTGATTCGGTTTTGTGCCTCATTGCTAGGATTCTGAAAGCGGGTTTTCATTGAACAGTTGTGTAAATGTCAGCTTTGGAAGGGGCAGGAGCCTGGACCAAATCTGTAATGATTTTACAACCCTAGGAGGTTTTAGTTTAAAGCGCAAGGTTAGAGATTGCCTTGTTTTTGCATCTACTTCTCCTAAAAATGCAGTGGATGGAGAGGAGTCATTGCTTTGGTATTTAGTGTTTTGGAAATTAAAATAATTGATGTTTAGAAATGAAAGACTTATGATCAAGCACAGAAAGAACTATCTTCATTTAGTTTTAGAAATGGGCGGGTGGTATGGTTTTGTTTCTTACTTGAATTGTTTTTGATATAGGACATGGTAAAAACAGCATAGACTTCAGCTATACTTAGGTTTATGGTTGTAGCAACTTTTTTTTTTGAAGTATAATTTAGCTAACTAGCATGAGGTGCATGATAACTAGTAGAAAGTAATTAATTTTGTTTTAGAATAGGTCTTGTCACGGATTGATTCATTTTCTCTGTAATCTTTTTTGGTTATTATTTTTTGAGAGAGAGAGCTAGAGCATGAGTGGGGGAGGGGCAGAGAGAGAGGGAGACATAGAATCTGAAGCAGCCTCCAGACTCTGAGCTGTCAGCAGAGCCCAACGCGGGGCTCGAACCCACGAACTGTGAGATCATGACCTGAGCTGAAGTTGGACGCTAACCAACTGAGCTACCCCGGCGCACCTAAGTTTATTTTTGAGAGAGAGAACGAGCGGGAGCAAGCTAGAGCACGAATAGGAGAGGGGCAGAGAGCAATGGGGAGAGAGAATCCCGAGCAGGCTCCTTGCTGCCAGTGCAGAGCCCAACTTGTGGCTTGATCATAACCTGAGCCGAAATCAAGAGTTGGACATGTAACCAACTGAGCCACCCAGGCCTCCCTCCCCAGGTCTAGATTTCTGATTAGCTTTTCTGCGATGACTAAAATTTATCTAATTGGATATTGGTATTAGAATAAATTTACCTGGTTGTAAAGTAGAAAAGAAGTTATTTTCTATTTCAGAAAAGTGCAGTGGTTTTAAGTTAAATGTAAAGAGGTAGAAGAATTTCTTTTCTGAGTGACTTATTTTTTAAGTAAAAACATTAAGATTATTTTGGCAATTTTAGAGGACGGTTGGGGGAAAGGTGTTTATTAGAATGTAACACGGGTGTGATGAAGTAAAGTTCACGTTTGGTGTTGATGCTTTACGTTAGTTGTTTAGTCCTTCATATACTGCATAAAAGCACTCATTAGCATTTGCACGTATTAGCATTTTAACTCACTTTGTCCTCTAACTTTAGGAGACAGTGTCAGTAATTTGGCCAAGTCCATTCATCTAGTTTGTAGTGATTGAGTCAGGATTCAAAAAACAGATAGTAAAAATTGTTTAATGAGTGTATCTTTTATAGCAATTTGAATTTTAACAACTGGTAATACAAAATATTCTTCGGTAAGTGTAGTTTGAAAGTATTTTGCCATGTTTTGAGAGTTGGAGAAAAAAGTTTTAAGCTTAATAAAACACAGTATAAGTCTCAAGTTTTTATGATAAACTGATAATTTTTTTTTAAGTTGCTGATAATTTTAGATTTTAGTTGTAGAAAGAAATGTTGGAAAAGTTTGTAGGTAATTGGTATATAGAAAATAGTTTATTTAGTAACTTTATTTAACAAAAAGTATTATACGATGGCATTTTAATATGGAATATGAGTCTCATTTATGTGATATATCTGAGTTTACATTGGGGAATGTTTGACAAATTAAAATCAGTTTCCCTTACTTCCAGACCTGAAAGAGGCCTCCAGAAAAAGTAGATGTGTGTCAGTACAAACAGATCCTACTGATGAAATTCCCACCAAAAAGTCAAAGAAGCATAAAAAGCACAAAAATAAAAAGAAGAAAAAGAAGAAAGAAAAGGAAAAAAAGTATAAGAGACAGCCAGAAGAATCTGAATCAAAGGCAAAATCACATCATGATGGGAACATAGATTTAGAATCGGATTCGTTTTTGAAGTTTGATTCTGAACCTTCCGCGATGGCACTGGAGCATTCTGTAAGAGCGTTTGGCCTTTCTGAGACCAGTGAATCTTCTGCAGTTGTGTTAGAACCTCCTGTGGTATCAATGGAGGTATCAGAGCCACATACCTTAGAAACTCTGAAGCCAGCTACAAAAACTGCAGAACTGTCAGTTGCATCAACATCCGTAATTTCAGTGCAGTCAGAGCAGTCTGTGGCAGTCACACTGGAACCACCCATGACAAAGATTCTGGATTCTTTTACAATGGCACCAGTGCCCACTACAACAGTCGTGCTAAAGTCATCTGAGCCGGTTGTCACAATGTCTGTGGAATATCAGATGAAGCCTGTGCTGAAATCTTTGGATACCACACCTGCAGAGCAATCAAAGATGCTAGAACCGCCAGTAGCAAAAGGGCTAGAGCCATCGGAAACCCTTGTGGTATCATCCGAGATCACTGCTGAGGTGCACCCTGAGCCGAGTACATCAACAACAGTGGATTTTCCAGAGTCATCTGCAACTGAAGTGCTCAGATTGCCAGAGCAGCCTGTAGAAGTACCGTCGGAGATCGCAGATTCACCCATGACAAGACCACAGGAGTTGCCGGAGTTGCCCAAGACCACAGCGTTGGAGCTGCCGGAGTCGTCGGTGGCCTCAGTGGTGGAGTTGCCGGGGCCACCTGCGACCTCCAAGCCGGAGTTGCAGGGGCCCCCTGTGACTCCATTGCTGGAGTTACCTGGGCCCTCTGCTACCCCGTTGCCAGAGTTGCCAGGCCCCCTTTCTACCCCAGTGTCTGAGTTGCTAGGGCCCCCTGCGACAGCAGTGCCTGAGTTGCCGGGGCCCTCTGTGACATCAGTGCCACAGTTGTCGCAGGAATTGCCAGGGCTTCCGGCACCATCCGTGGGGTTGGAGCCACCACAGGAGGTACCAGAGCCACCTGTGATGGCACAGGAGTTGCCAGGGCTGCCTGCGGTGACAGCAGCAGTAGAGTTGCCAGGGCAGCCTGCGGTAACGGTAGCAATGGAGTTGGCCGAACAACCTGTGACGACGTCAGAGTTGGAGCAGCCTGTGGGGATGACAACGGTGGAACATCCTGGGCAGCCTGAGGTGACGACGGCAGCAGGGTTGCTGGGGCAGCCTGAGGCAGCGATGGTGCTGGAGTTGCCAGGACAGCCAGTGGCAACGACAGCGCTGGAGTTGCCAGGGCAGCCTTCGGTGCCTGGGGTGCCAGAGTTGCCAGGGCTGCCTTCGGCAACTAGGGCGCTGGAGTTGTCAGGGCAGCCTGTGGCAACTGGGGCACTGGAGTTGCCTGGGCAGCTCATGGCAACGGGGGCACTGGAGTTCTCGGGGCAGTCTGGGGCAGCCGGAGCCCTGGAGCTTTTGGGGCAGCCTCTGGCAACAGGGGTGCTGGAGTTGCCAGGGCAGCCTGGGGCGCCAGAGTTGCCTGGGCAGCCTGTGGCAACTGTGGCGCTGGAGATCTCTGTTCAGTCTGTGGTGACAACAACGGAGCTGTCAACGATGACCGTGTCGCAGTCCCTGGAGGTGCCCTCGACGACAGCGCTGGAATCCTATAATACGGTAGCACAGGAGCTGCCTACTACATTAGTGGGGGAGACTTCTGTAACAGTAGGAGTGGATCCCTTGATGGCCCAGGAATCCCATATGTTAGCTTCTAACACCATGGAGACCCATATGTTAGCGTCCAACACCATGGACTCCCAAATGCTAGCATCCAACACCATGGATTCCCAGATGCTAGCGTCCAACACCATGGATTCCCAGATGTTAGCCTCTAGCACCATGGACTCCCAGATGTTAGCAACTAGCTCCATGGACTCCCAGATGTTAGCAACTAGCTCCATGGACTCCCAGATGTTAGCAACCAGCTCCATGGACTCTCAGATGTTAGCAACCAGCTCCATGGACTCCCAGATGTTAGCAACCAGCTCCATGGACTCCCAGATGTTAGCAACCAGTTCCATGGACTCTCAGATGTTAGCAACCAGCTCCATGGATTCCCAGATGTTAGCTACCAGCACTATGGATTCCCAGATGTTAGCGACCAGCACCATGGACTCCCAGATGTTAGCTACTAGCTCTATGGATTCTCAGATGTTAGCATCAGGCACTATGGACTCTCAAATGTTGGCCTCCGGCACCATGGATGCTCAGATGTTAGCATCTGGTACCATGGATGCCCAGATGTTAGCATCTAGTACCCAAGATTCTGCTATGTTGGGTTCAAAATCTCCTGATCCCTACAGGTTAGCTCAGGATCCTTACAGGTTAGCTCAGGATCCCTATAGGTTAGGTCATGACCCTTACAGGTTAGGTCATGATGCCTACAGGTTAGGGCAGGACCCATATAGATTAGGCCATGATCCCTACAGACTAACTCCTGATCCCTATAGGATGTCACCTAGACCCTATAGGATAGCACCCAGGTCCTATAGAATAGCCCCCAGGCCGTACAGGTTAGCACCAAGACCCCTGATGTTAGCATCTAGACGTTCTATGATGATGTCCTATGCTGCAGAACGTTCCATGATGTCATCTTACGAACGCTCTATGATGTCCTATGAGCGGTCTATGATGTCCCCTATGGCTGAGCGCTCTATGATGTCAGCCTATGAGCGCTCTATGATGTCAGCTTATGAGCGTTCTATGATGTCCCCTATGGCTGAGCGCTCTATGATGTCAGCTTATGAACGCTCTATGATGTCAGCTTACGAGCGCTCCATGATGTCCCCAATGGCTGACCGATCTATGATGTCCATGGGTGCCGACCGGTCTATGATGTCGTCCTACTCTGCTGCTGACCGGTCTATGATGTCATCGTACTCTGCAGCTGACCGATCTATGATGTCATCTTACACTGCTGATCGTTCAATGATGTCTATGGCAGCTGATTCTTACACCGATTCTTATACTGATACATATACGGAGGCATATATGGTGCCACCTTTGCCTCCTGAAGAGCCTCCAACAATGCCACCATTGCCACCTGAGGAGCCACCAATGACCCCACCTTTGCCTCCTGAGGAGCCACCGGAGGGTCCAGCATTACCTACTGAGCAGTCAGCATTAACAGCTGAAAATACTTGGCCTACAGAGGTACCAGCATTACCTCCTGAAGAGTCTGTATCACTGTCTGAACCTTCTGTGAGTCAAAGTGAGATTTCAGAGCCTTCGACATTGCCTGCTAATTATTCAGTGTCAGCATCAGATCCTTCAGTGTTAGCATCAGAGGCTGCTGTTACTGTTCCAGAACCACCATTAGAGCCAGAGTCTTCGGTTACATCAACACCCATAGAGTCTGCGGTAGTAGCAGAAGAGCATCAAATTGTTCCAGAGAGACCAGTGACTTACATGGTATCTGAAACTCCCATGATGTCAGCTGAACCAACTGTATTAACATCAGAACCTTCAGTTATGTCTGAGACAGCAGAAACTTTTGATTCCATGAAAGCTTCAGGACATGTTGCCTCAGAGGTATCTCAGTCCCTCCTGGAGTCAGCTGCGACTAATCCAGAGCCATCACAGAGCGCTCTAGAGCTGCCAGCCATGGCTGTCTCAGAGCTACCAGCTGTGGCTGTCCCAGAGCCACCAACTGGGACTGTTCCAGAGCCCCCAGCTGTGACTGTCTTGGAGACCCCAGCCATGGCTATCCCGGACCCAACAGCTATGGTGGTCTCTGACTCAACAGCTGTGGCTATTCCAGACCCACCCACAGCTGAGGCTGTCCCAGAGACTGTGGCCTTGGCTGAGTCAGAGAATGTTACCATTTCTGTGCCAGTTGTTTCTGCCCTGGAGCCTAGTGTGCCTGTCCTGGAACCAGCAGTGTCAGTCCCTCAGGCTAATGCAGTTGTTTCAGAACCATCTGTTTCAGTGCAAGAATCCACTGTGATAATTTCAGAGCCTGCTGTCACTGTCTCAGAACAGACCCAGATAATACCGACTGAGATAGTTGCAGAGTCTACACCAATGATACTGGAGTCTGATGTTATAAAAGGAGTGAATTTACTATCTGGTGATCAAAGTCTTACTCCAGAGATTGGCATGCAGGAGATTCCCATGCATTCAGATGAAGAGCTGCATGCTGAAGGACACCTGAAGAATGACCCTTATGAAAGTGATCATGGTACAAATATAGACCTTAACATAAATAATCACTTAGTTGCTAAAGGGATGGAACATGACACAGTGTCTGCTGCCGCCACTGGTGCTGTTGGTGAAATTGGTGAAGGGAATATTTTATCCATCGGTGAGACTAAACAATGCACAGTATTGGATACATGCTCTAGTGTTAGCGAAGCTGATGGAGGAACTCTATCTTCTGCTGGTCCCTTTGCTCTTGAACCTGATGCAGTGGGAACCAGTAAGGGTATTGAATTTGCTACAGCATCTGCTCTCACTTCAGTTAGTAAATATGATGTTGAAGTATCTTTAACCACTCAAGATACTGAACATGACATGATAATTTCCACTAGTCCCAGTGGTGGTAGTGAAGCTGACATAGAGGGACCTTTGCCTGCTAAAGACATTCATCTCGATTTATCATCTAATAACTTTATTAGTAAGGATGCAGAAGGACCATTACCTATAAAAGAGTGTGACCAGACATTAACAGTTGCTCTCAGCCCTAAAGAAAGTAGTGGAGAAGATAAAGAAGTACCTCTCCCTACTAAAGAGATACTCTCTGATTCAGGATTTTCTGCCAATATTGATGATATTAATGAAGCAGATTTAGTGAGACCATTACTTCCTAAGGACATGGAACGTCTTACAAGCCTTAGAGCTGGTATTGAAGGACCTTTACTTGCAAGTGAGGTTGAACGTGACAAATCTGCTGCCAGTCCAGTCGTAATCAGTATACCAGAAAGAGCTTCAGAGTCCTCTTCAGAGGAAAAAGATGATTATGAGATTTTTGTAAAAGTTAAGGACACACATGAGAAAAGTAAGAAAAACAAGAACCGGGACAAAGGTGAGAAAGAAAAGAAAAGAGACTCCTCATTAAGATCTCGAAGTAAGCGTTCCAAGTCTTCTGAACATAAATCACGCAAGCGTACCAGTGAATCTCGTTCTAGGGCAAGGAAGAGATCATCGAAATCTAAGTCTCATCGCTCTCAGACACGTTCAAGGTCACGTTCAAGACGCAGGAGGAGGAGCAGCAGGTCAAGGTCAAAGTCCAGAGGAAGGCGATCTGTATCAAAAGAGAAGCGTAAAAGATCTCCAAAGCACAGGTCTAAGTCTAGGGAAAGAAAAAGAAAGAGATCAAGTTCCAGGGATAACCGGAAAACAGTTAGAGCTCGAAGTCGCACCCCAAGTCGTCGGAGTCGGAGTCACACTCCTAGTCGGCGAAGAAGATCTAGATCTGTGGGGAGGAGGAGCTTTAGTATTTCCCCAAGCCGCCGCAGCCGCACCCCAAGCCGCCGC